AACCAGGCGCAGGGAGGATCCGAAAGAACAGTTTGGAAATGGGAGGAGCCTGTAGTGTGGATGGAGCAGGACTCGCCGCAACCTGGGGAACAAAACTTGAGGAGAAGGGGCTCGGGTTTATCCTCCTATAAAGCACCTGTAAGTTAGGAAAGGGCAGAGGGAGAGGAGAGAATTTCTGTTTTAAGCATACGCCACCCTCCTCCGCATTCTTTAGGAAAAAAAAAATCTGCTTTTTAAATTCAAACTCAGCAACTCTGGCTCGAACAGTCAGTCCCAGCCAACTGGTCTACCCTGCAGCTGAGCTAGCCCCCCAACCCTAACAGAGCCTAAAGGTCACAGCGCGAAGTCTTCTCGTGGCTGAGAAGGCTCCCAGGAGCTGCACCCTGCCTTCTCCAGCCTCACCTCCCGTTGCTTTCACAGCGCAGTGCTCAGGGGGTTCTAATCACCAGTTTCCTCCCGGCTGGTGGTTCCTCCTCCCCCCGCCTCCTCTCACACTTGGTGGTCCCTCAAGCTAATTTTTTTTTTCTGTGAAGTTTTCCCTTATAACCCTGCCACCACCACTCCCTAAACACACACACACCGTGCCAAACTGTGTGAGACGCAATTCTAATTCTGCTATGTCATGTAGCAACCACCTCTCAGTATTTGTATTTGTTTACATATCTGTTTTCCCTATTAGACTGGGTTCTTTGATGGTAGCAGTTGTATTTTGTATTATTCTCATTGCCTGGCGCACATTAGGCGCTTCATGTCTGATGAGAGTATGAAAGAATGAAGAAATAAAGGCACTACAAGAAGAAGAAAAGAAGGAACATGTATGTCTGGAGAGAGCCTGTTGTTTCTACAGTGGGGGGCGGGAATGAGCCAGGCATTATGCAGCCTGTCACTCTCCCCAGAACACTGGGCATATGGTTCGTTTGCCTCCTTGAGATCATGCTACCTGATGTACTAAGCACAATTGCATTAAGGAGCCGGTGATACAAAATACAATCAGGGTTATTTGCTGGTTATTAGGGAGCTCTGCCGGGGAGAGAAAGGGGCGGGGTGGCCGGCCTACTGGTAGCCATGTCCTGGCTGCAGCTGCATGGAAAAGGCACGTGTGGATGGGGTCTTGATTAAGACTGAGCACTAGCGGGTAAAGGCAGGAGAAAAAGGCATGGTGGTGATTTAGAAAGGAGACATTGAGCGCTGGCCAGTTTGGCTCAGTGGATATAGCATTGGCCTGCAGACTGAAGGGCCCCCGGTTTGATTCCTGTCAAGGGCACATTCCTCAGTTGCAGGCTCAATCCCTAGTAGGGGCTGTGCAGGAGGCAGCCAAGAGATGATATTTCTTTCTCTTTTACTGATGTTTCTCTCTATTCCTCTTCCTTCCTCTCTCTCTAAAAAATTAATAAAAACATATATTTTTTAAAAAGAATTAGATGAACCAGTCCCCCAAAGAAATCAGGAAATCCATCTCCCTTTGGGGGTTGGCTGAGATTAAAAAGGGGAAATCTGTCATAACCATGGCCTCCGTCCCAGCCCCATAAACCGTATGTTCCATAAAGGCTGATTAAGCTGTTGCCTATATGAAGTACATTGATGGCCACCGTGGACTCCTAATGCCACAAAATAACTCACCAGCTTGCCACAGAACAGTTGTCCCTGCCTGGTAGGCCAGACACCACCATTCTCAGGTCAGGTGACAGAGGCAGGGACGGCCTCTAGGCCATTGCTGAGGTGCAAATGTCCCTTGAGGGTAAGACAAGAACTTAAGGTATCTAAGGAAATAAAATAGATTTGATTTCTACCATTACAACCTAAGTTAATTAGCTATTTATCACCTTCGTGGGCATGAGGGCTTATTTCAAAGGGGATGAGGCGCAGGGTAAGAGTTAGTAGGAGGAGACAATAGCATACAGGAGAAACAGATCTTCAGGGTCTGGCCTGGCACTTTACAACACCTCTTGTTCTATCTTCACAACACATGGTAGGGTAGGTTATTTAATAACAAAATATTTTTATAACAATATTGACCATTTATGAAGACTTACCATATGCTCACTTAAATTATCTCATTTAGGCCTCACAACCCTAGTAAGTTTAAAGATAAGAAAGCCAAGACTTGCCCTAACCGGTTTGGCTCAGTGGATAGAGCCTCGGCCTGCGGACTCAAGGGTCCCAGGTTCGATTCCAGTCAAGGGCATGTACCTTGGTTGTGGGCACATCCCCAGTGCGGGGTGTGCAGGAGGCAGCTGATTGGTGTTTTTCTCCCACCGATGTTTCTAACTCTCTATCCCTCTCCCTTCCTCTCTGTAAAAAATCAATAAAATATATTTTTTTAAAAAAAGAAAGAAAGCCAAGACTTAGAGAAGTTACATCTGTTCAAGGTCAAACGAGTTTTAAGTAGTAGAATTTAGATTTAAAGCCCAGTCTGTTTTCATTCTTCACTACTGTATCACACAGCCTATTCTTGTTCTCTGAGCCTTGGGGTAGCTATGACTTGCCCAAGGCCACTAGCTAATAAATGGCAGATCTGGGGCTTCAGGCTAGGCCTATGTGCTTCCCGAACACACACATTTTACACAGGAGGTTAGAGCACATCTGCAGGGGGAGAGGCACAGAAAACATTTCCAATACTTCGTATAAAATCTCACCTCAGGGGAACCAAGAATAACCTATATCCCAGGGAACTCAACAAGAACGGAAGTCACTTGACACGAACTTTATTTGTTCTGGCCATCTGTATGCTGCCCACCACGCTGGAAAACAGAGACAATGCCCTCTGCAAACAGCTCCAGACATGCCAAAGTAAATACCGTGGGCCTCAAGGACAGCCCTGAAGGACAGGCTCTGTGGCTGCTGGTCAGGTGCCTGACCTCAGCTCTACATGGGTGCCGCACCCTGGAGACCAGTGACTGACTTTGCTATCCCAAGCCTTGATTCCAAAGAAATAGAAGTTACCCAGTTGCTGATGAGAATCAAATTCTCTTAACCGGCCATGACCAAAACATGGGACGGGGTGGGGTGGTCCAGAGATGGAAATGAACTTGAGAATTTCTAGTAAACATCAGGCAGGGGCTGGCAACGCGCTTCCACCAGAGAAGCCCCACAAAGTAGGAGCTGCCCCAGAAGCATGATCCTAGGAGCTATTTGTGCTCAACAACCCCTGCTGAGCAAGGAAGGGCGTGCTCCTCAGACACCTCCTGCCACTCACTTCAGCTTCCTCCTCAATGCAAACCCCACTCATTCAGGCTCCATGGGGCTGCTGCTTCCCCAAGCTGGTAAGGCGGAAGGGTTTCCCACCGTCAAGCGGCAATCCTTTCCCTTCTCTGGAGTTTATAGAGGGCTCAGAAGTTTGAGAGGCCTGAGGGAGGAGAAAACGCTGCCTGGGGTAGCCAGGCTGCTCTGCTATTCCACCTCTAGCCACCGGGGGGCCCCTGGCTCCAGAGATTCGGGGACCTGGCTTTGCTCCCATGGTGGGAGCTGGGAAACCCATAGCCAGCAGCCCGGAGCGGCTCCTTTCCCCAGCACCTGAGGGCGGGCCAGCGCACCGCCAGGTCTCAGGTTTCAGGGGGATGGCAGTTGCCTGTCTAAAGGCTTCTCTGTTCCCTGGAATTGTACAGAACGTCTCTTGTGGCTTTTCCTCCTCCCTCTTTTTTCCTGTTGACTCTCCCCAGTTGGCTTTCTGAACCACCAGGCTCCAGAGGAGAGCAGCAGATGTTGACTTTACTTCTTCCAAGCCAACGTCAGCTCCCTCCCGTGGAGCGGGGAGCCAGCAGGAAGCTGGGAGGCAGGGGACGAGGAAGACAGCCCTCACCCTTCCCAGACTGGGAAGGAGGCCGTGGGGGGATCTGAAAGGAGGCAGGGACCTAGGCGACCAATTCCCGCTTCCCGAGGCTGGAGAAAAAGGCCCGTGTTGGCCATGAACCGTGGTCATGAGGAGGGAGCAGACAGAGGGAGTGCTCCTAGTCGGGGTGCCAGCCCCTCTTGTCTGAGGTGAGGCCTCATCTCCTGCCAGCAGCTTCCTCATGACTCCAAAGTCAGGTCAGGGCTCAGGCGAGGGGAGGCTGTCCAGGGGCTGATTCTCGTCCCCTCGGAGGCCCCAGCCTCCGTTCTTTGCGCGTCTTTTGGAGAAGCTTCCAGGGAGGGCTTTCCAGGACTCTATTCTACATTCACTGCTCCGGTTTCTCTCCTCTTTTTTCTCCCTCGGGGATCTTCTTACGGGCAAAGAAGCCAAGCTGTACAAGAAGAGATAAGAGTTATTGTCAGATGGCCTGCCCGGAGACCTTGCCAACAGCCCTCAGACTTATCTGAAGTCTTCACTTTGGTTCTGCTTCCAAATATGAGGTTCATATTTCTTTTATTTGGCTTAGTGGAATTCAACCAATATCTGTGGAGTTCGGGGAAGGAGGTTGGGCATGACACCCACCGGCTGCCCAGCACAAACCCGGTTTTCCCTGCTACAATCAAGGACCCCTCAAGGCGTGGGCACCAGGCCCGTACTTCCAACCAAAGCCGTGCTTACCTTCCAAAGGCAGAAGACGAGGAAAGCCAGCAGCAGCAGCCCTCCCAGGACGCTGCCAATGAGGACCCACAGGGAGATGAGCACAGGGCGCGTCTGGATCACCTCCAGGAGGCTCTGTGTGGGGAGAGGGGTCTTTTACCTGCACCCGTTCACCCAGCTGGCCCCATCCCACATTCAAGCAAAGCCAGCCTCCAAATAGAAGACTAAAAGGAATGAAACAGAGGCAGGAAAGGAGGCAAGGGGACCCTAGCATCCTGACTTGTCACTTCTGACTCCTCGATTGCTGCCTGAGGAAGATACTTTTGAAAAAAGCCCACCCATGTCCTTTCCCCACCCTCACCCCCACCCCCATACGGGAGGCATCCAATCAATGTTTTCGCAGCTCTCACACGCGGCCTCCAGCCCACCTCACTCCAGCGGGAAGCTTCGGTCAGCTGGAGGACACTGCCTGCCTCAGCTCCCAGCTCGAAGGTGCTGACCACTGTCAGAGACTTGAATTTGGCCTGCGGAACCAGGAGATGGGAAGACATTTAACGCGAGCCATCGTCAGGGAGTGTGGCAATTGGAACTCCAGTAACAAAGATGAGGCTGAAAGGCACAACTCTCAGGACTCTGAAGACCAGAAGTAAAGGTTGGAGACCAATGGGGAAAGAGGAAAAGGGTTATAGACGGAGAAATGAGAGAAATCTAAATTATGGAAGTTCTCTAAAGCTAGGGTCCTTCGTTATGCTGTCTGTTCTACCTGAAATGCATTCAACTTCCCTTTCGTTGGCTAAGCACTACCCCTCCTTTAGGTTGAAGTTTAGACATCATCTCCTCTGGGATTTCAGAAAGTATTCCCTTCTAAACCCAACCACCCCTGTTAAAGTTATAATATTCTGTTCACTTTTCTGTCTTTCACCACTGAATTATAAGATCCTTGAGGACAAGGGCTATGTCTTATTAATTATGTGTCCCTAGGCCTACCAGTGTGGCTAAGTTGGTTGAGCGTTGTCCTGTGCACTGAAAGGTTGCTGGTTCGATTCCTGGTCAGCGCACACGTCCAGGTTGTTGTGGGTTCAATACTCAGTTGGGGTGTGTATGGGAGGCATCCGAACAATGTTTCTCTCTCTTTTTTTCTCCCTCTCCCTTCCTCTCTCTCTAAAATCAGTAAAAACATATTTTAAAAAAATCTTTAATTATGTGTTCCTAGTGTCTAGTACCTAGCACAGTGCCAAATACCTAGTGGTTACATAATAAATCTGTTAAAAGAATGGCTGAATGCCCTGGCCAGGCAGCTTAGTTGGTTAGAGTGTCATCCAGCTATGTCAAGGTTGTAGGTTCAATCCCCAGTCAGGGCACATACAAGAATCAACCAATGAATGCATAAATAAGTGAAACAACAAATAGATGCTTCTCTCTTTCCCCCCTCTCTAAAATCAATTTAAAAATTTAAAAAGAATAGATTAATGAATTAAAAAGAGGATACCAAAGCCCAGATGGTGTGGCTCAGTAGTGGAGCATTGACCTGTGTACCAAGAGGTCACTGATCAGTTCCAGTAAGGGCACATGACCCCGCTGTGGGCTCGGTCCTCAGTAGGGGGCGTGCAGAAGACAGCTGATCAATGTTGATGTTTCTCACCAATGTTTCTATCTCTCTCTACCTCTCCCTCTTTCTCTAAGGTCAATAAAATATTATTTTTAAAGTAGAGGATACCAAAGAGAGATAAATAGAGGACCAGACTTAGAGAGGAATGGTCTGTCAGAGTTAATTTCCCTTAAAACATATGCCTGCATCCCAGGGATGTTGTGTTATTCAAAGTAGATGGTGTTTGGGATGCACAGTAGAGAACCCTAGTGCTGAATAGCTGTTACAATTAAGATGTCAATTCCCTGCTCAGGAACTCACACTGACTCCTACCTGCCAATCATCTTAAGTTCCATTTTATCTCCCTAGCTTTAGAAAACTTTCATAATTTAGATTTCTCTCAACTATATATTCTTACTTCTGACCACCCTACAACACATATCCTGCATGTAAATCTACTATTTGTTCATTTATTTAACAGAAATGTATTAAGTCACTACAGTGATTTAAACATGGTGCTAAACATTTCGGATATTCTCCTCAGTGTCTCCTAGTACAGGACCTTTTTTATAGTAAGCACTTGATGGATTATTAATTGATTGATTTTTAGGTATCCTATCAATGTTGATTGATTATTATTATAGTACTAAGGGATGATACATGGAGGATCATGTAGCTTTTAATGAGTCCATCTCATTATTCAATTATTCTTTACAACAACCCCATAAAGTAGGTGTTATCACCCCCACTTTAGAGATGAGAAGAAAGAAGCTGAGAGAGATGAAATAACTTGCTCAACATCCAACAGCTAGTAAGAGGCAAAGTGGAACTTGAACATGGGTCTGTTTACTTCCAAAGCCTGTGCTCAAGTTCCAGATTGGAACAGAAGGGAAGAGTAGTAGGAAATAAGAGGTTTACCCTCCGGAAGAATTCATTGTGAAGCAGTCTCAGTAGTCCGACAGAGGCCTCAGTCCCCTTAGCGAGCCGCCCGAGGTGGCAACGCACGACTTGACACCGAGTGTTGCTCCCGTTCTATCACGAGAGAGAGAGACAGGTGAGACCTCGTGGAAAGATCTCCCACTTCCCGCTCCAGGCTCTGCCCCCAACCCTAAGGCTCCAAACGCCAGTGTTCCCACCCTGGACACATTGCTCCATCCTTGACGCATACCAGCCGGCTGGTGTGCTGAAGCTCCTCTGGGTGCGCAGGGGGCCCAGGGGGCTCGGTCAGATTCTGCACCGCGCAGCTGGCCTGGAGAAAGATGGAACGTGAGGGACTCTCTTGATGGTGAGAGGCCAGCCACTGCATGCTGAGCAGCACCTACCCACACTCTTATAGTGGGGGATCCCTCTCTTTCTTCCCAAAGAAGCCACATACGTAAAGGAAAGGTCCCCCCGGGGAGGAGCCCTGAGGGCAGTGACCCAGCAGATAAGGGGCTGGTGGAGGGCTCCACATCCCCCAGCCCAGACTCACATTGTGAGTGATGACTTGAGACAGTGACAGGAAGTAGTTGCCCCCATGGGCCACGGCTGGAAGGAAAGCTGAGATGACGAGGCCGCTGACCACATAGCAGCCAAGGTTCTGAACCTGAGAGGAGAGTTGAAAACGGGAAGAGGCAGGAGACGAAGATCCTTCGGCATCCGCTCCTCGTTATCCTGGATCCCACTGACATCTAAGAGAGGCTTTTTCCGTTTCCCCCCAAGACGTCTCCCTCCTCCCCTGCTCATTCCAAGGCCCGCCAGCTTCTCACCCGAAGAGTGGTCTTAAATTCAGGGCCAGGACCCACTGGGAGGGTCCCGTATGGATGGACCTCATAGCGGTGCATAGTGGACTCACTGCGTGGACACCAAGTCAGGAAGTACATGGCCACAGCCATGACACAGACACAGGCACATGGTCAATACATAGATGGAGTCAGGGAAGGCCGAGCCAGCACATGAATGAAGAGGTGGGGGTACATAGAGAAGATAGACATGAGACAGGGCAGACTAACAATGTTTATGGCCCATATCCCCCCACCCTCGCCCCAATCCCCAGGCCCAGCAAAGCCCATACCTAGGAAGAAAGTAAGATGCTTAAAAGAGACGGTTTTGCATGAGTGGGATTGGGGGAAAAGATGGAGCAGCCCCAAGGGTTTGGGCTTTGGGGACACTGAAGCACGTGAAGGGAGAGGTGGGAACATAGACTATGAGTCTGAGGTCAGAATGGGGTGGGGGTCCCTAGGGGACCAAGCCATACCTAGAGAAGAGCAGGTGAGGCTCATACTGGATGTAGGCTGAGGTCTGGGCCGTGTTATCGTGAAGGGTCCCATTTCTCTCCAGGCTATTGCTGTAGGGCAAGGGGAGAGGCTGACATCCTGTCCCAGAGACCCTCTCAGGAGGAGAGGGGTCAAGGCTACTGTATCCCCCTCCTCCAACACACACACCACCCCAGCCACCAAGACCCAGTAGGAGAGGGCTGGGGGAGGTTCCCTTTGCTCTCACCTGGTGGCAGTCAGCCTCACAAGGACCTGGCTCAGGAGGGAGGAGCAGCTAAACTCAAACTCTAGCAGAAAGGTCACCTGGAGGCAGGAGACATGGGTCATGGTAGATTCTTAGTCATGGGCAAGTTCAGAGGAGCAGGAGCCCTGTGTGCCTCCTTCTCCAGCCCCAGGCCCCCCCAGTCCGGCCCCTGCTCTCTCAGAGCCCCTTTCTCATCCTGGGCCCACTTACCTTGGCTCCAGTCTGAAAGACCGGATGTCCCACACTGCAGAGCCGGGCGTGAGGGGAAGGCGTGGCACACTCCACCTTCACCGACCTGTCCCTCTGAAAGCAGAGACACGGGGGTGGAGCAGAGCTGGGGCTGCGGCTGCTCTCCTGCCCACAGCCCCTAAACACTGGGCCTTTCTCCAGAGCCCCTCGCAGCTGAGGACAATACCTACTCTGCTCCCTCCTTCTCCGACTCCTCCCCAAGCCCCTCCCCCCCGACACCTGAGGAGTGAAACTGGCCAGGTGGAGGTTTCTAGAGAAGCTGAGGCTCAGGCTGGTGTTGTAGGCATTCTCCTTCCTGTTCTCCAGGGTGGCTGTCACCAGCACTTTCCGCCGACCTTGAACCACGAACGGGTCCTTCCTAGGAGAGGTGCATAAGGGAGAACTCAGGAGTTGAAGGAATGCCAAAAGCCTCGCTTCTGTTTTGCTGGGCAAAGAACCACCCTCCAGTTCCCTTCTAGTCCCGTCCAGCCTGGTTCAGGTCACCCGGGTTTGGCCAGTTCCTGTCCATCCCACCTGGAGCCTCTGATGTCCATATTCGCCCGGAGCACCAGGTCTGTGACACATTCATTGTCTTGGCCACAGTCCTTTGAGAAGGGCACCTGGCGGGGAGAGGAGGGGCCAAGGGCTGAGAAGAAGGCAAGGAGAAAGGAGTGGCATTGGGAGGAAGGTGAAGGGAGAAGAGCGGGTGCCCAGGTCAGATTCACTGTGATCTCCTCTCTGCCCTCCCCCTCAGGCAGTGTTGGGGCCCAGGACAGGACAGGGCAGGGCGTGGAACTGCTGACCAGCTTTCGTATAGAGGTGAGTGAGCCCTCGTCCAGCACAGGGCCTGGCTTTGTGGTGTTGTCCAAAGCAAAGGTCACAGTCAAGGCCACCGGCCGGAGGTAGTCGGATGTATCCTGAGGGAAACCAGAGGCAAGGTCACGGGGAGCCAGGCTAGGGGACAAGCCAGGCCTGGGAATGTGGTCATTCCAGCGTTCATTTACTGAGCGCTGTCTGTGTGTTGGGACTATCTGAAGGTTTTGGCAGTGCTATCACATTTACCTCTTTCTTAAAAAATTATTTCCTGATTGATTTGAGAGACAGAGGAAGGGGGAGAGAGGAAAAACATCAATTTGTTGTTCCACTCATTCATGCATTCACTGGTTGATTTCTGTATGTGCCCTGACCGGGAACAAACCCGCAACCTTGGCACATGGGACGATGCTCTAACCAACTGAGCGGCCCGGCCAGGGCCACATTGACTTCTACTACAACTCCTGTGATGCAGTTATTATTATCATCTCTCCACCCCACCCCTACTCCCCCTCCCCCGCTTTGCAGGCAAGGAAACGGACTTCCCAGGTTGCACAGATGGCAAATGGCAGTTAGAATTGAAACCCAGATCAGCCCAACTCCAAAGTCTGACTTTCTGAAATTGCTCCTCTGACCCGGCCCTCCCCTCACTCCCAGGCCCCGAGGCTAAGCAGGTCCTGCCCCTCCTCACCAGCACATGGAAGTGCAGCCGCTCACAAGTGACATTCCCCACAGTGAGCCGGAGCCGCCGGGGGGCCAGCCTCTGGCCAGCGCTGTCAAAAGCTGCCCGGGCTCCAGCTGTCCACTCGTCCAGTGATGCTGTGAACCGCACGTCTGCACGGGGCAGGCAAGGGTGAGGGTCAAGAGGGTCCGAGGCAAGGCAGGCCAGGGTGGAGGGGGGCCGGTGCCCTGCGGTCACTCACGGAGCCGGCGGTCCCAGCGGCCAGGCGTGCGGGAGGTCGCTCGGAAGCAGAGGAACGCAGAGAGGCAGGCTGCCTCCTGGCCTCGCCGCGTGCAGTCTCTCTGAACCACACTGATGGCCGGCGGGGTCACCACCAACGACGGGGCCAGGCGGACAATGGGCCGGGAGCTAGGCACAGGGTGGGAAAGAAATTCTAGTCAGAGGAAAGACCTTGAGAAAATCCACTCCCAGCGTTTGCCTCCTGAGGTCAAAGGAAAGAATGAGGGGCTAGGCATGCAGGTCTCTCTCCTCTGAAGCTTCTAACAGAAGTAAGATAACAGCTAACATTTAAATATATATATATAAAATATATTTTTATTGATTTCAGAGAGGAAGGGAGAGGGAGAGAGAGATAGAAACATCAACGATGAGTGAGAATCATTGACCGGCTGCCACCTGCATGCCCACCCACTGGGGATCCAGCCCACAACTCGGGCATGTGCCCTGACCAGGAATCGAACCGCGACCTCCTCGTTCATAGATCGACACTCAACCACTAAGCGATGCCGGCCAGGTGAGAACAGCTAACATTTAAGAAGCACTTGCTATGTGCTAGGCCAGTTGCTCTCAACCTTCTGGCCCTTTAAATACAGTTCCTCATGTGACCCAACCGTAAAATCATTTTCGTTGCTACTTCATAACTGTAATGTTGCTACTGTGATGAATCGTCATGTAAATATCTGATATGCAGGATGGTTTTAGGTGACCCCTGTGAAAGAGTCGTTTGACCGCCAAAGGGGTCGCGACCCACAGGTTGAGAACCGCTGTGCTAGGCACTGTGTTAAGATCTTTACATGGATTACCTCATTTAATCCTCACAATAAGCCTATCAGGTAGGATTGTTCCCATTTTAAAAACTAGGAAATGGAGGCCCAGAGTGAGTTGACTAAGAAATCCACATCTAAGCCCGTGTCTCCAAATCCCTGGCTCTGAGCAGCCATGCTGAGCTGCCCACTTTGCCTGAAACGGAGCCACTCACCTGAGCAGGATGGCCGCCCCTTGGGCACCCACAGCCACATCCACCAGGTCATCTCCATCCAGATCTAACCGGCCATCTACACTTCGGCCAAAGTAGCTGAGGGCCTGTGGCAGAGAGGCAGCAGCGATCCGCTGCGGGAGAGGGGGAATTTGAGCAGGGACTCCCACACCGGGTTCCCAGCCTCCCGCCTGGCTCCTGTTTCTTTCATCAGAACAAGAGAAACTTGCCTGTGTTCAGGATTCCCTTGTATACCAACCTGTAATCCCCTCCACCTCACCATTTGTCCCTTATCCACGCTTTCACTTTCTGCTGTTAATATTTAATTAAAAAATTCCAGAAATAAATGATTCCTAAGTTTTAAACTGTGTGCTATTCTGAGTAGTGGGATAGACTCTTAAGCTGCCCCACTCTGTCCCGCCTGGGGTGTGAGTCATCCCTGTGTCCAGTGTAGCCACACTCAGTATGCTACCCACCGTGAGTCACTTAGGAGCCGTCTTAGCTGTCAGATCAACTTGAAGGACTCACACAGCTTTGTTCAAATAACCCTTATTTTATTTAATAATGCCATATTCAGATGAGTTTTATTATAGCATACTGTTATCATTGTTCTCTTTCATTATTGTTGTTCATCTCTTACTGTGCGTAATTTATAAATTAATGTTGTCATAGGTATGTATGTACAGGAACAAGCCTATAACACGGTATATGTAAAGTCTGGTACGATCTGCAGTTTCGGGCGTCCTCTGGAGGTCTTGGACCATATCCCCGTTGTGGGGGGGGGTGGCTACTGTACTAATGAAAACGCATTTGTTCAGTTGGGTCCCAAGTCCAGGGGAGCACTGATAAGCAGAGACCACGTCCCCACTCCCCTGGCCCCCACACGCCCCTGCCTTCCTCGGGCACTCCTGACCTGGGCAGGGCGGGGCCTCACTCCACTCCGAGTCCCATGATAGAGGTACAGCGCTCCACGGTGCCCATCCTCCAGCGGTGCCCCCACTGCCACGTCAGCAAAGCCGTCGTGGTTCAGGTCAGGAAGGGCAGCCATGGCAAAACCAAGCCGAGCATCCTGGGGCGGTTCTGGATGAAGTGTTCCCTGGAGTGTGAGCAAGGACTGCTGGTGGAGCGAGGAGAAGACAGGTGTCAATCTGATTGTCCCAACCTCTCAGCCAGCCCTCAAATACATGTGCCTCCCCTTCTCCCTCCTTCCTGACCGGCAAGCAAGCCTCACCTGACCCACCAGATACACATAAACACGTCCTGTCTCCTTGTTCTGGGGTCCCAGAAACATGGGGGCAGCCACGAGTAAGACATCAGTTGTCCCATCGCCATCTGTATCCAATGGGCAGAGCTCACTGCCAAAGTATGAGCCAATCTGGGGAGTGGAGGGCAGTGAGGGGAGTGGTGAACCCAGAGAAAAGGGAAGGCGATTGTGAACAAGTGGGAAGCACCCCGCACCCCACCCCCGCCGCACCTGCCGCTCTGGTCCTCACAGCCCTGACAGACTCCCTAGCAGAATTCAGCACCCATCTCAGGCCCCTCTCCAGCCCCTTCACTGTCTCCCTGCAGGCTGATTCCCCTCGGATGCCCTACCTGCTCCCCCTGGAGGCTCTGGGCGACCCTCACAGCCCCATCTTTCTTAAGCTGGAAGGCGATGACCTTCCCTCGATGTCTAAACCGAGGAGCCCCTGAGAGGAATAGGCGTTGTCCACTCCGCAAAAGCATGGAGGAAACAGAGTAACCTGGAAGTAGGCAAGGAGTCGGGGGCGGAAGGAAAAGACGGGGTCAGAATGGGAGGGATCCCTACAGGCCAAGGAGGGGTCCCAAGGGGAGTAGCAGGAGGTCTGTGAACAACTGTGTAAGTGAAGAGGAGGTGCTCACACCCCACACCGGGAAGGAGGCGTCCCCCACCTCCCAGGCCTCTGCAAACCCCTGCTACTCACCCAGGTAGGCCGCGTGGTTCTGCAATGCAGAGGGGAACTCATCTTCCAGGGCGGTCCGTGGGGGGAAAAGGTGGTGACCTTCTTCAAGCCATAATAACACGGAGCCCCCCCAGTCATAGGCCCCCACCATCCCAAAGAGAATCCCATCCTGTGGGCAGAACAGACAGGGTCACTACAAAGGCAGCAGGGAGTCAGAGCAAAGCTGCCTGGGAGTGAGGGCGTCACGGGGCATAGGCCGGGGTCAGTGTGAAAGCCAGGAGCCGTCAGAATGGACACTGGTTAAAGGAGGAATATAGAAGAACCCTGGGGTTGAAGGGTTCGAGTCAGAGGCTGGAAGGAGTCAGAGGTCGAGTGGGGTCATGCATGGAGGGGGCAGGCTGTCCAACCTTTAGCCGATGAGCAGAGAAACCAATCTGAGACATTTCCAGGCCAAAGGAGCTTTCGTTTTCTCCATGGGACCCTTGGGCACGAGACAATATTGAGGCACCTGTACTCCAGAACCCCCTTCCCCGCCCTCCATTTCTTCCAGGGGCATCCTTACCCTCAAGGCCAAAAATCCGGTCGCCCAGTGCGTCCACAATGTCGGTCAGCGCAGCTTCATCGGTGACATTGAAAAAGAACCTCTCGTCTGGGTCGCTGGCGATAGCTCTGATTTCCCGCACGAAAGAGCTGGGGTCTCGCTGCCGCCGGAGGTAGTGGCCGAGGACCTGGGGTGAGAGCCAGGGTGGGTCTGTTCAGTGTGTGGATTGGGATAGCGGAGCTGGTACGGAGCACAGCCAACAAAGTGAAGCGGGGGAAAGGCGGCTGGTGTCGGGGAAGTGGTTTCTCTCAAGTTCCCGGTCCTGATGTCACCATCCCCACCCCACCCCTCCTTCCCGGTCCCGAGCAGAGTCTCACGGCAATGCCATAGCGGGTCACTCGTCCGGCCTCACAGGCCTTCAGTGCTGCGGGCAGCTCCTCTCCGTCATGTGATTCCCCATCAGTGACAACCACCAGCAGCCGGGCAGCCTCCGGGCGGCCCCCGCGGGACTGACTGAATCCTTCTGTGCTGAGAAGAGAGAGAAAGGAGGTGTGATCAGACGTACACAAACACACACACACACAGACACACACATACACACAGGCACACACATACACACACACACGTACACACACAACAGCATCACCAGTTCACTGAGGTCCGGCATCTTGCCTTTCAGACCATCTCCCCAACAGTGTCTAACGTGCAGACTGACACACAGTAAGAGCTCAAATGCTTGAATATCATAGAACATAGAGATGAGCATATCATCAATGCAAATCAATATAAAACTCCTTTATTTAATTTTAAATTGATTTGAGAGAG